TGAGAATGACAAGAGGGAAAAGAGGAGAACAAGAAGAGAAAAAAGATAAAGGAGAAGGAAAAGGAGGAGAAGAAGGAGAAAAAGAAAGACAAGAAGCAAAGGAGAAGAAGAAGGAAAAAAGGAGAAGGAGGAGAAAGAGGAGACAGAAAAGGAGGAGAGGAAAAAGAAGGAGAAAGAGACAGAAAATGAGGAGCAAAGAGAACAAGATGATTAAAGAACAAAAAGAAAAGAAGGAGGAGCAGAAGGAGAAAAAGGAGAAAGTTGAGACAGAAAAGGAGGTGAAGAAGGTGAAAGAGGAGGATGATGATGAGAAAAAGAAGAAAAAGAGGAGAAGAAGAAGGAGAATGAGGAGAAGAAGGAGAAAGAGGAGAACAAGAAGAAGAACAAAGAGGATAAGAAGGAGGAGGAGAAAAAGAAGGAGAAAGTTGAGACAGAAAAGGAGGTGCAGAAGAAGAAGGAGAAAGAGGAGGATGATGATGAGAAGAAGAAGAAAAAGGAGGAGGAGAAATAGAAAGAGAGAAAGAAGAAGAAGAAAGACAAGATGAAAAGGAGAAGAAGAAGAAGAAGAAGAAGAAGAATGAGGAGAAAAAAAGAAGGAGAAAGTTGAAACAGAAAAGGAGGTCAAGGAGAAGGAGGTCAAGAAGAAGAAGAAGAAGAAGTGTGTCTCCTCGTCACTGTGTCTTGTATGGAGTCACTCGAGTCATCGTAACCTCTGTGTTATAATCAAATACAATCAAAACCGACGGCTGTTTCGTCTGTCAAAGAGGTGCGATGATACCTGAGACCAGCTCGAACCACATCATGAACCAAACTGTTCATTCTGCCTGATGGAGGTGAGTGTAATTCACTGACTCCGCCACCAGGTGGAGCTTTTGCACAGCGTAACGTTCTGCAGAGAAACTGTGTCTGAGTCTGGAACAAACTGTAGTTCATTAACTCACATCAACAAGTTAGTCAGAGCATCACAGAGTAAAAACAGAGGAGAGGAAGGCCGCGGAGACGTGAGAGCAGCCAGACGGACGGTGAGCCTGAACGTCTGGTCGCTCAGTTCATTATTTCATCACTAACCGTCTGGTCAAAAAAAAATCAAACTCATTCATCATAACAGCTTGTTTAGCCTGTTCAAAATGACATAAAATGAAGAAAATCTGACAGTACGAGGACAATAAAATGTATGTTTGCTTTAAGATTCCTCTGTTCATGCTGCACTTATCTGCAAACAAACAAAAAAATCAGCTGATCTACTATTTTTGGCAATTTAACAGTTGCTTCTTCTCAATAAAATCACTATTACCAGCATTTCTAATCCTGGTTTACGATATTTACCAAAGGCCAAATGAATCATTTCTGTGTTTTAAGAGCTTTCTCAGCACCATGTGTTATTTTCTGCTTCACTTTTAGCTTCCGGGCAAAAAAACAAAACAGAAAAAACATCAATTAAACGGCGATTCCTTCCTCTCTGGCTGCTGACACACCGATAAAAAGCAGGCACAAGAAAAAGGAATAAAAACCAGAAAGAGTCACACTTTTACGTCCTCGGGCAGCAGAGAACAGACACTTTGCACATACATGCAGGACAGAGGACACGGATCACAAACACGGACAGAGAAGGAGTACAGTACAGAGCCCGTGTTGAGTCAGATGAACACACTGATGAGTCACGACTTGTTTGGAATAAGTGAGAAGAAAACGGTTTTCACAGCTGCCTGCCGAGAGAGCTGAAGTGGAAGCGATGGTTTTGTTTGACAGGATGAAAAGCAAAATGCAGCCTGACAACTGCAGAGAAGCAGCTCGAGCTGTTTATTTATCCATCTAATATAAATGATAACCTGGAGTTGTACACGGCTGGAATACGCAACGATTGATTATGTTGTGTGTAATAAACACGGCTGTCCAGAAGCATGTTCACAGTAGAACGAAACTGTTGAGTTTGGGACTAAAACATGTTTAAAGTGTTTAAACAAGTGTTTAAAAAAGTGTGCTTTCTTTAAAATAAATCACAAAAAAATACAGAGTTTATGAGAAACTGTAAGAGCAGAATCAGATTTTTAACAATCTGAT